ACAGTTATCTGTGCAGTACATATGGAAGTGACTGTAGATCTGCAATTTGTTATCCTTATGTTGGCGTTGACAATTTTAGTCTGCCTTGATATTTTGGTAATTTGGGCAACTAATCCCATTGGTTATGGCTACTCCATCTTGTGCTCGCATGTGAAGCACTGGCTCCTCACCACTAGCCTGGCTTTCGAAATTTTCTTGGTGATAGCTAAGTGGTGCTATTGAGGAAATGCGCCAGCTGGGTCTGACCTCTGGCAGGAAGCTGTTTTAATAGAATCAGATATGTGAAGGTTGTTCTTACCGTCCACAGTATGTGCACTCACCTTATCAGGGGATGTTTGTCATTGGAAATGAAACTCAGAAACATGTGAACACGATTTAGGGAAAACATTTATTTCCCTCAGTGTCTGAGCTTGCAGTTTCAGTAGACTGCCATCTGACTCTTGGTTTTGTAGTTTAGCCAGTACCTCAAACATCCGAGGATAACTCCAACTCTAAACACAGTGGCCCTTCTGATCTTTTTGCCAATAAAATAGAGCTGCAAAAATAAAGTTGCATTAAAATTTTTAATACATATTCTACTCCTCTTTCACTCTGTCCTTTGTTAACCCCGTACTTCATTGGTTATTTTTATCATTTTGTCTTCTGTGATTTGATATTTATTTCTCTTGAGGGACAGAGTACAAGCCAACACCCAGTAGCTCAGAACGAAAGCTCTTGTCTCTAATTTCAGCTGCCACTGGAATGTTGTTCTCACCAAACTTACTGGATGGCTTTCTTCATCTGAAATCACTCATGCTGTGATATAACTAACTGGTACTTGTGACCAACCAGTTTACAGATATTTGTTGACGTGGTTTGCAGTTGATCTTTTAAAGGAAATACTTTGAAAACAATGTAGAATCAACAGATTCTGATGTAATGGATTTGATTTCTTTTTTTTTTTTTTTAAGATTTATTTCTTTGAAGGACAGTTACAGAGAGAGAGAGAGAGGAAGAGATGGAGAGAGATCTTCACTCCCCAGATAAGTGCAACAGCCGAGGCTGGGTCAGGCTGAAGCCAGGAGCCTGGAATTCCATCCTTGTCTTTCTTGTTTTCCCAGGCACACTACCAGGAAGTTAGGTCAGAAGTGGAGCAGCCAGGACTCAAACCAGCACCCATATGGGATGCCAGTATTATAAGCAACAGCTTACCCAACTGTACCATAACACCAGCCCCCTGAATTTAATTTCTTGTGCATGCATTCAGGTATATTGTATCAGCTATATTGTATGCTGCTGCAAAACAAACCACCTCAAAACTCAGTAGTTTAGACAACATTTATTAACATAGCTCACAATTGGTGTTCCTGGGCTGGGAGCTGGCTGATCTGTGTGGGGGTCAGCTGAGCGATTCTGCTAGTTTTAGCGAGATTTAGTCACATCTCTACAGCTACTGAGAGTTGGCTGCTCTTGCCTATCCTCGTCTGGGAATGACTCTGCAGTGAGACTGTCTCTGTTCTCCGAGGATCCATAGATGATTCTGGCACTTCTCCTCCTGATGATGGCAAAACTATGAGTGTAAGGCCAATTGAACAAGTGCATTTCAAGACTGTAATTGTGTTAAAAACCCAACATGTTATTGGCTAAATCAAGTCATATAACCAAGTCCCAGATATGGATCAGCCTGCAGTGGAAGGAGAGTGGGGACCTTCAGCCAGTAATGCAACTTGTGTCCATAAGGTACTCATCTATTCTCGTTGATTCACAGGTGTCCGAATCATCCAAACTTCTGTAGTAAGTGTTGTACTAAGGCCTGAAGTAGAGCAGGCAGAAGCAGGCATGTCCACGTGTGATCATCCAGGGACAACAATTTCCCAATACATGCAATTTAGAAATACTGTTTACATGGAACAAATAAGAAAAATAGGTCACACATGTTCTGGATTATTGTTCAGAGATAAGTTTACAATTCTGGCACATTTCCTTTGTCTCATTTTTATCCCTTTCCTCATTAATACTATACTTTTTTCTTAACATTTGTATCAGGAACTTGTTCTTTGTTTTTTTTTTTAAAAAAGGCTTTATAAACGCAATGTTAATGTCTATGTAAATGTTCCATGGTCTGGAGAGACCGTGGTTCACTTAACTTTTCCTTTTCTCTGTAACACTGTGGTTCTTTCCAGGGCTTTCTGATTGTAAGTAATGCCCTGATGAGCATGTTTGTGTGTAAATCCTTATCCACATGTCATCTGGTTTCCTTAAAGGAAAGGATACCCAAGGGCACAAGGTCTGGATCTGCCACTCATCTGTCAAATGATCCCATTGAACCTGAGGCATTAAGCTTTCTCACTCTAGAGCATCTTTCAAACTGAAGTGCTCAATAGCCGCTCTTGAATGGAAGTCTGAAGACAACACCAATTGTTTGTCCCCACAAAAAGCTCCGGGTTGGGGAGAGGCAGCTTCCTTGGGCTTCTCGCTGGAGAGTTCAGCTGTCTTTGAGAGAGGCAGTGCTGTTTGCAGTTCAGTTACCATCGCTAAGCCTGTGGCCTACATCTCCTGAACACAGCATGGCTCTGCTCGTGCATTTTTAATAGGGCAGCAGGACTCTGAGCATGAAGAACATAAACGTCCTGACCTATTTTATGAGTGTGACCTGCTCTTTGAGAATGGCTTGCCAGACTGGAAGAACTGCTTTCACTACCTATCTTCATTCTGTCTTACAATCTTACATTTACTTTTAATGCTTATCTTTGCTTTTTCTTGTGTTTGCTTGAGAATTAAGCATCCTCCGTCAATACACCATTGGGCATCTGGCCTCCCCTCCCAATTTCCTGGTAATTGCGGGCCACCTTTTTCCTCAGGAATGCTTCCTTAATGTTCATTTCAATATGTACTGAGGCTGTACTCCTGTTTCTTCTGACTGCCTGTCTTCTAGCCTCTGCCAGGGATAAGCATTGCTCAATTTGTACAGCCTTTAAGGGCTGACTTCAAAAAGCAGAAGTGTCAACAGTATCTCATTGCTGACTGGAGAAGCAGGATCTGTGCTTCCTATGTCACCAGCCCTTCCCTGCTCAGTCCTACAGGTATCTAACTTGTACCCAACCATCTTCCAGTCCCTGCACTCCTTGTTGGAGGCAGTGGAATCTTCTTTGGCTCTCAGGAAACTGAGCTGGGGCACCCATCTGGCAGGCGGAATTCTGTGTCAAGTACAGTGTGTCTCTCTCCTCTGACCACCTTCAAAAGGCCTTTTGTTTCCTCCCCTCCCCCTTGGCCAGGATGTCGCCCACACCCCGTGAGTGATGGAAATGGCCCCATCACACCACAGCACTCAGCAGTGGAAGCAAAACATCTTCAACCAACAGAAGTGTTGCCCTCTTTATTGTACCTCTGCCACAAGCTGGAACTGGAATGGTTCATCAAATCACTGACACATTGGAGCTAGGGAGAAAGTCGTTTTTCGCTGTGAGTGGGAACCTAGCTTTGTGTCTGAAGGACGCTTCATATGAAATAAAATATTAGTGCGTATGAAATTCACCATTTAGCTTCTGTTGCCACTCTTTCCAGTCCGGCTTGCAGTTCTCAATCATTTTTCATAAGAAAATGGGAGTCAAATCCTTGAATGTAAAACAGCTTCCTAAAGTGAATGACTTTGCTCCCCTGAGTGTGCGGGGTGTGTATCTGAACTTTTTAAAAAAATCAGAGAAATGTGTCCCTGATTGATTTAGCTTCATTTCACTAACACTGCTGTCAGGTAAGGCCTTTGGACGTGTGGGCTGGTGGATTAAGTCCTCTGTTCTGTGCCTGCTCCCGGCACACTTGACTTCTTGTTTACAGTCACCTACCTGCTTATCCAGGGCTGGGTGAAGCACCAGCTTTGAAGCCTTTGGGAAGAAGTATACAGTATGTGTTCAATGACAGAGGTGCCCTGTCCCCTGCATATGGTCCATCTCCAGGCCTCGTGAGAACCATGCGAGTCATAGCAGACAGGACCTAGACTTGCCATGCCCCAGTCCTTTACCCCAGATGAGCATTTCATGCTCTGAACTCTGCTTTTTCCCAAAGGGCCGAGCAAAATCTCTGGAAGTCTAGCTTGGGTATGAGGCATAGATGAGATCACAGGGAAAACAAGAAGTCAGAAAATGGGAAGTGAGGAAGAAAAAAAGAAAAAAACAACAAGAAAACTAGTTACTGTCTCCTGGGGAGAAAGAGAGAGACCTACCAGCTGTTTTCTCCTGTCCTTTGGTGGCCAGCCATTTGCTTCTTTCTGTGTGTGTTTTTTGTTGTTGTTGTTGTCATTTTTTTTTTTTTTTGCTTTGTTTTATGTATTTGAGAGGCAGAGTTCCAAAGAGAGAGGGAAATACAGAGAGAACCAGATCTTCCCTTCACTGGTTCGCTCCTCAGATGGCTTGGCCAGGTGGAAGCCAGGAACTTGGAACTCCAACTTGGTCTCTCACCTGGGTGGCAGAGGCTCAAGCACTTGGGCCATCTTCTGCCGCTTTTCCCAGGTGCGTTAGCAGGGAGCCGGATCAGCCACAGGGCATCCAGAACTCAAACTGGCGCTCTGATACAGGATGCTGGTGTTACGAGCTGTAGCTTAGCCTGCTGTGCTACAACAGCAGCCCCTTTTTATTTTTAAATATGCTTATTTAATTAATTTTGAATAAATAGCACATTCACTTGATTTATAAATTATTGCACATTGAAAATCTTCCCTCTCCTCGTATCCTGCATGTACCAGTCTCCTTCCTGCCTGCCTGGCCCAGGAAGTCACATTTCTTTCATGTGTATGGTAATCCTTCCAGAGTTTGTCTACACATACTCCCATTTAATTGAATTCAGGTATGGATTCTCATTTCTTTATCCACTTACCTCCGCTCTCACATATTCACTTTATTTAATTTTGTTCTACTCTCAATAATCCTGGGGTGGAGCTTTGTTCAACAGGAAAGATAGTGTCATCTGTTTTTTCTGTGCCCAATGTCCCGCACAAGTTCACATGTGTACTTATCGTTTTCCCACAGAGGAGGTGGAAAGTGAGAAATGGTACCTGTCTGCAGATTTTCCTTCAACAACCATCAAGACAGAGCCGATTACAGATGAGCCACCCCCAGGACTTGTTCCCTCTGTCACTCTGACCATCACAGCCATCTCTACCCCTTATGAGAAGGAAGAACCCTCTCTGGAAGTGAATACTGGGGTATACTCAATTTTCTTCCCTATGAATAGTTGAACAAGAATGTAGAGAACCTCACTCTCCAATAAGGCATTTAATCTTTTTTGGAACTGGTGGTTGTATATGTTTAAGGAGATATGACTGTATTTTCTGTTTATGTGTGTATATATCAACGATATGTAGTTTGGTGTTAGCATTGAATATAGGGCTTTCTTTAAAACCATTGTCCAGAAAATTTGGGAGCAAACTTTATTTTATTTTTCTTTGATTACCGTTATAAAATTTAGAAAAAATAGAATATCTGTGGGAAAGACATTTCCCAGTGGCATTGATCTTTTAAGGAATTTTTAAAAATTATTATCTATTTGAGAGGTAGAGAGAGAGAGAGAAAGTGAGAATGAGCTCCCATCTGATGGTTTACTCCCAAATGCCTGTGACAGCTGGGGTTGGACTAGGCCTAAGCCAGGAGCTGATCAATCTACGTTTCCTATGTGGTAGCAGAAGCCCAGTTACTTGAGTCATCACCACTGCCTCCTAGGATCTGAGTTATCTGGAAGCTGGTGTCAGGAGCTGGTATTAGGTATCAAACTCAGGTTTTCCACAATGGGCCTTATCTGGTATCTTAACCGGTAGGCTAAACAAACATCCCTATGACCTTGATAAATAAGCCTGTAGAAAGGGAATAGTGAAGATGATGGTGCAATCCGTGCCTTATGGTGCCACGGCTGTTGGGAATGCTAGTTCCTGTGTATGTAATATTTAATTTTCTTGAGCAATGCCAACTTGTCTTACCCATTTCAGGAATCTTCCACCTACTGTTTCTCGTTGTGTTATCCATAGAAAGCATAAAAAAAATCAGGAATTTCTTCCTTGCTGGGTTCCATGCCTATGGCAAGTAGAATTTAATTCTACTCCACCTTATCTCTGGACATTTCCAGTGTGTGGCAATGGACCAGAATCATATTTGTACATCTTACAGATGCTGGAAATTAGACCTGACTTTCCTAGAGTTCAGAGCCTCAGGGTGTAAGCCACAATTCCATTAACATTCCTTAAGTCAGATCTCCCAGGAGCAAGATAACGTGTCTGTCTGTTCCGGAGAAGGTCACACAGAATCAGTAGTGCCACAGACATGTCACTGCCTACTCACTTTGTCCATCTGTGTGGAAGATGAAGTGCTGTATGCAGAAGATCTCTGCAGCTGCTCCCATAGGATTCTGTCTCAAAAGCTTTTTCAGTGTTGCACTGGGATCCTGATGGGTGTATTGGTCTCCTTGCTCCATAAGATTTCAGTTCAAATGATTTCAAGTATGCAACTAACAGAACTTAGAGTTGTACCTTGCTCCCTGTGATGGGCCAGATAAGTGTTCTGCTTTCCCTGCTGTGTAGTTGTTGGATAGATATCATCAGTCATCAGGAAGCCTGGAGACAAAGGATGTGGTGTGGTGTGCAAGAGTCCCTACTGAAGAACAGACTGACAGAGCTGTAACCTTTTCAGAAATTTACCAGAGTAATTCATGACAAAATGCCTTTAGTGGACCATAGAAACCATAGAAAGAAGCGCTGATAAGTGAGCCTTGGGCTTTTGATTGTAGAGTTCTGGGGGGTCCATCAGCTGTAATGCCAGGTTTGACAATGAGAAGAAGGTCAAGAACTGGCATGACTCCCTGGCAAAGATGCTGTGTGCCAGAGCGGCAGGGCTGCCTGAGAGGAAGACCCTCCTGTCTGCTTCTTCAAGACCATTACCAGTTTTTAAAAATTGTATTTGAAATTTTTCCTTCAGGTCGATTCCTCGTGTCAGACAATTATTCCTAAGATCAAGTTGGAGCCTCATGAAGTGGATCAGTTCCTCAACTTCTCTCCTAAAGAAGGTCTGTCCACCCTCCTGGTTTCCTCTAGGCTACCTGATGTGGTTGCATGGTGTAAAGAGGGAATGTGGCAAGACTGCTGGGGTTTTTAGTAATACCGGGTGTAGCTACCTTTATCAGATAGCTTTGTTCTAGAGTGGGAGTTAGGCATAATTATTAGGATACCACTTGGGCTGGTGCCGCAGCTCACAAGGCTAATCCTCTGCCTGCGGCGCTGGCACCCCAGGTTCTAGTCCCGGTTGGGGCCCCGGATTCTGTCTCGGTTGCTCCTCTTCTAGTCCAGTTCTCTGCTGTGGCCCAGGAGTGCAGTGGAGGATGGCCCAGGTCCTTGGGCCTGCACCCGCTTGGGAGACCAGGAGGAAGCACCTGGCTCCTGGCTTCAGATCCACGCAGCGCGCTGGCCACAACACACCGGCCGTGGTGGCCACCTGGGGGGTGAACCAATGGCAAAAGGAAGACCTTTCTCCCTGTCTCTCTCTCTCTCACTGCTAACTCTGTCTGTCAAAAAAAAAAAAAAAAAAAAAAAAAAAAAAGAAAGATACCACTTGGGACACCCACATCCAGTATCAGAGTAACTGTTCCCACTCTGCTCCCCATTCCAGTTTCCTACACACTCTGAGAGGCAGCAGGTCATGGTTAAGTGGTTGGGTACCTACTCCTGTACTTGAGTTCCAGGCTTCTGGCTTCAGCGTGGCCTAGCCCTGACTGTTGAGGGCATTTGGGGCATTTGGGGCATTTGGGAGATTTCTCTCTGTGTCTCTGTACCTTTCAAATAAAGAAAGATTAAGAAAAAGGAATAACTCTGGTTTTAAAAATCTCTATTCCATATAAACATTTTGAAACATAGATATTGCTTTCCCATAGTTGCATATACCTGCTTCCAGTTAAGTGTTTTTGCCTTTTTACTCCTAGCCTGGATGATTTTTCAAAACCTCTGTAGACTACTATGACATGGGTGCTGACTGCATGCCCTCCTGCTATAAACCTGATACAGCCTTGCAAATATACAACAATCCACAAAGGCATCTTGCTCAGTTAAAACCACTCTGATTTAAATGCTATGTAAAATGAATTCATAATTTATCTGTATGGGAATTCAAATTTTTTATGCTAACTTTGATGATCACAGTGGCAGGGAGCCCCTACCTATGTGTTCATGGCTTCCAATTATGCATCTCTTTGGGATTCTTGTCATCCATTTAGAAGTAAATGACATCATACCTGGAGTGGTTTCACCTTTTTCTGTCTTTATATCAGTATCTTACTAACCGTCTCCCTCTTTTCTGAAGCCCATAGTTGGACGCATACCCCTGAGCCTCCTGGAGTCGAGTGCCTTTCTCTCTGCCTTGTTTATACAGACACTCCTGCACACATCCTGCTTCAGTTTAGGGCCTTTGATCCTACTGTCAGCTCTCTTTTAGTTTATACTTTTAGTCCAGGTTTATAAATTCAAATCTTTAGTGTGATCATCAAATAAAAAATTAGTATATACAATTGTCATAGAAGAGGTCTGTGTGCTATAGGAGATAAATGTGTGACTGTTACACATGAGCAGTTTTCATGGAAATAAAATCTACCTTCATTTCATTAGCAACTAATTCAGGATTTGACTTGTGACAATTTGATCAGGGCTTCCCCTTTATTATCAATACCAAAAGGATTAAATTTTAAAAATTAGTAATATATACTAGAATCCATATTGTAACACTGTTTCTTGACATTAAATGATAAACATTGATGCCTTTCAGCTTAAAAAAAATGTTTTGTTTATTTTCATCTGCTTGAAAGGCCAACTGACATGGGGGCGGCGGTGGGGGGAGATTGATCTCCTGTTCACTGGTTCACTCCCCACATGTCTTCCAGGAACCCAGAACTCCATCCTGGTCTCCCTATGTACTTGAGCCATCATCTGCTGCCTGCCAGGATGCATTAGCAAGAAGCTAAATAAGAAGCAGAGTAGCCAGGGGACCAGCATTGCGGCCCAGCAGCCACAACCTGTAACACTGGCATCCCATATTGGTGCTGGTTTGAGTCCCAACCACTCCAGCTCCGATCCAGCTCTGTACTAATTCATCTGGGAAGGCAGCAGAAGATGACCCAGTACTTGAGTCACAGCCACCCTTGTGGGCGACCCAGAAGTAGCTCTAGCTTCCTGACTTTGGCCTGGCCCAGCACCGGTAGTTGCAGATACTTGAGCAGTGAACCAATGGACGGAGGAGTTCTGTCTCTGTCTCTGTCCCTCTCTCTGTGACACTGCCTTTCAAATAAATAAATAAATAAATCTTTAAAAAAAAAAAAAAAAAAAAGTTGAGTAGCCAGGATTAGAAGCCTCACTCTGATATGGGATGTGGGCATACCAAGCAATGGCTTAACTGGTTCTTATTATCAGATGCATCTTGCTTTTTTAATACATGTTGCAGCATGGTTTAGAAAGTGTCATAACTGTGACAGTGATCTCAGAGTGGCTTCTGGGGTCACTGGAGAAATGTTTCAAGAATCAAGTAAGTGGAAGTCCTTCCTCATTATCTTGGATAAGCAGGGATAAGGGAATTCAATATCCTTGATCACATCAGAGTTTCTAGGCAAAGTGGCCTGCTGTCCCCAGCTCTTGCAGTAACCCACGAGGACCATATCAAATGATGTTTGGAAATCTGATACTAGTAACTCTCTGTAGGTAGGAAAGATGAGATTCAAGTTTGTTTCACTCATTTTTCCTGTAATCCAATTCTCATTTTTTTGTGGGGTACAAGGAGAAAAGTGCAAGGGTACTTCAAAAGTTTGGGAAAAATGAAATTAAAAGGTGTTTGTGTAATGCAAAACAGTTAGAAACCCATGCATAATCTTTTCATAATACATAATTGCCATGAATTTGTTGAATACCCCTTATATGTGTATAGCTCGAAATTTTTTTGTACCAAAGTAATTTATTTTTAATTCCATTTTCCCTTTTCCATTAACTTTTTGAAGAACCTTGTATAGAATAATTTGACTTCAAAAACAAATAAATAAATAGATAGATAGATAGATAGATAAAAAGAATAATTTGACCTCTGCAAATTGAAAGGTACCAGGGAGCTCTAGGTATGATTTGTTATTTTAGGGGAATATAATAGCATAGACCATTAGAACCCCTAACTGATTACTGTCTGAGTTTTAGTTTTCTTTTTTTATTTGAGAGTTGGGGGTTGAGGGTGGAGGTAGACAGAGCTTCCTTCTGCTTGTTTACTCCCCAAATGTCCAAGTGGCTTCAATCCAGGTCTCCCATGTGGGTGGCAGGAACCCAGTGACTGGAGCTACCACTGCTGTCTTCCAGGGATCTATGTTAGTGGGAAACTGGAGTCAGGAGCCAGAGCCAGGATTCTGATATGGGATACGAGCTACCTGCCTTTCCTTCCTTCCTTCCTTCCTTCCTTCCTTCCTTCCTTCCTTCCTTCCTTCCTTCCTTCCTCCCTCCCTCCCTCCCTCCCTCCCTCCCTTCCTTCCATTTTTCTTTCTCTCCTTTTTAAATCATACAGTTCCATAGTACTCATGACATTGGGAAAAGCTTGGTTAGCATAAACCCCCAGCTTTCTAGCCAAGCACGTACGTATGTGAGGCACATACTTAACTCTCCTTAGCTCCCTGCAGCTGTCGGCAGGATTGTTGTGAACAGAGAGGATCACTTTAGAATCAATATTCTAGCTTTAAGAATGCCATAGGCACTACGTAGTCCAGGGAGTTCTTTTAGCAAGACACTGGCAGGGAAGAAGGGAAATAAGACGCATCCAGAGAAAAGTAGTATGTTGGAAAAAGAGAGACAGGAGGAGAATGATGAAGAGGAAGAAAATGTGCTGGGAGGGGGGTGCCTTGGGGGCAGTGAGAGCCAGTACTGTTGTGAACTTGGATATTTAGGTGTCGCAGTGGGAGAGAGAGCTGCCTGAGTGTAGCTTGGAGTCTCAAGAGCCACTGTGGGTGGTTTCAGTTGTCTGAGGTCAGTAGTTGTATCTCAGAAAGTCCTCCCCATCGGCAGTACCTTGGGCAGCCTCCAAGGTAAGAGGAGATGGAGGGCTGAGGCCTGACCGTGACCTCAAGCAGTCCTCTGGCTGCGCAAACCTGGATATGTGTAAGGCAGCCAGGCGCTGTGCCCAGTTCAGAGCAGCTACACTGAGGGCTCTATTGTTCTGGGGGCTCCAGGAAGGGTTGGGGGTGAAGGGTTTCCCCAAAGTTATCTCCCTTGGCTCAGTAACAGGGGCTGGCTCAACAGAAGTACCCACTGTTCAGGAAAAGCTGGAGTGAGACCTGAGAGTGCTTTCATTCAGGCTGAACCCAGATTGGCTCTCCTGCGGAGGCCCCTTCCTGGGGCCCTGATGATGCCTGATGGACACCCACCAGTGACCCAGAGGCCCTGGAAGAGGGTGCACTGCACCCTGAGGAAAGACACAGGCTGGGCTCTTACTTGCAGGGGGCCGTGGGAAGGCTCTGCTGCACTCCCATCTATTTTCCCTGTGCCTCCTCATCTCTCGGAAGATGGATTTAGTATTTTCTGGATGAAGAATGCCTGGCATCTCGCCTGCAGAACCTACCTTGCACACTCCTCCAGAAACAAATGCGCTTTCTCCATGCAGCCATTGGCAACTCTCCATGGGCTCCTAGGTTTTGCTGTGTCTTAAGAGATTCTCTTTTAAAGTGCACAACAAATCAGCATGATTTATAAGTCAAACTACATAAGCCATCTTTTTTTTTTTTAAAGATTTATTTATTGGGGGCCGGCGCCATTGTATAGTAGGTTAATCCTCTGCCTGCGGCACCGGCATGCTATATGGGCGCTGGTTCTAGTCCCAGTTGCTCCTCTTCCAATCCAGCTCTCTGCTGTGGCCTGGGAAAGCAGTAGAAGATGGCCCAAGTGCTTTGGCCCCTGCACCCAAATGGGAGACCAGGAAGAAGCACCTGGCTCCTGGCTTCGGATCGGCACAGCTCCAGCCAGTGTGGCCACTTGGGGAGTGAACCAATGGAAGAAAGACCTTGCTCTCTCTCTCCCTCTCACTGTCTGTAATTCTATTTTATTTATTTATTTGAAAGTCAGAGTTACACATACAGAGGAGAGGCAGAGAGAGGTCTTCCATCTGCTGGTTCACTCCCCAGTTGGCCGCAACAGCCGGAACTGTGCCAATCCAAAGCCAGGAGCCAGGAGCTTCCTCAAGGTCTCTCACATGGGTGCAGGGGCCCAAGGATTCGGGCCACCTTCTACTGACTTCCTAGGCCATAGCAGAGAGCTGGATTGGAAGTGAAGCTGCCAGGACTCGAACCAGCACCCATATGGCACTGTGGGCAGCAGCTTTACCCACCATGCCATAGTGCAGGCCCCCATAAGCCATCTTATATATATACTCTGAAAAGTCTTGCCATAATCTCCCCTAAAAATTTCCTTCTGTTCACCTTGGGTCATTCCTTTTCCTGATTTCTTGTATATGCTTCTGTTTCTTTACGCTAATACAAGCAAATGTGTGTCTTTGTCTCCTTCACGCCTTTTTCGTACCAAAGGAGCACTGCTGTATACATTGCTCCGCACCTGGGCTCCCGTGCTCCTCCTCAGGTTGCCATTCTTGGAGATCTTTCCCTGTCAATTCGTAGAGTTGTCAAGCTGCTGTTCAGCTGTCCTGAGTTTCCCTGTGTGACTGTGCAGGCCCAGTCTCGCCTCTCTGTGACGGGTGACATCTGCTTCCTTGTCTCTAGCCTCCGTGGACCACCTGCACTTACCGCCAACCCCCCCCAGCAGTCACAGCAGTGACTCGGAGGGCAGCCTGAGCCCCAGCCCGCGCCTGCACCCCTTCAGCCTGCCTCAGACACACAGCCCTGCCAGGGCCGTGCCCCGGGCCCCGTCTGCCCTCTCCAGTTCTCCTCTCCTCACAGCTCCACACGTAAGTATCTGATGGACACCTCCAAGCACAGGGCCAGGGGTCTTCATCCCTCTCACAGATGTTTGGTTTTTACTCCATAGAAGAAGTTTCTGTCTAACAACTAAATAACTTGGTTCATTTTGTATTGCTGTACCAACATACTTAAGAGTGGGGAATTTGCAAAGAAAAGATATTTCTGTTAGCTCATGGTGCTGGAGTGGGAAAATCCAAGAGCATGGAGGTGGCGCCAGCTCGGCTTCTGGTGGGGGCCCTGTGCTACTTTGTGTGTGGCAGAAAAGCACAAAGGGGAAGTGGGCATACATGGAAGGTAAAGAGTGGGATGGGAGGCTGATCCATTGTGGCAATAATCGTCCAGGCCTGTGCGACCTAACTTTCTCCCTCCAAGAAAGCATTAATCCCTCTGAGCAACCTAGCCACCTCTTAAGGACCCCATCTTCCAACACCACAGCATTGGGAATAAGCCTTGGCATGAGTTTTTGTGTTCCTCTTTCTCCAAGAGGCCATACACACACACACACACACACACACACACACACCACTTTCCCATCTGTTGTAAGTGCCTGCAATGGCCTGAGACTGAGCTGGGGACTGAAGCCAGCTGCCAGAGCTCAATCCAGGTCTGTCTTGTGGGAGGCAGGAATCCAAGTAGTAGGGTCATCACCATTGGTTTGCAGAGTCTGCATTAGCAGGAAACTGGAGTTGGGAGCTGGAGCCGGGAGTTGAACCCAGGCACTCCCATGGAGGATGTGGGCAACTGCATCACTAGATCAAATGCCTCCCCAACGCACGAGTTCAGGCAGAGGGAGGACAAACCATCTTCAAACCATAGTGCCAAAAAAGGCTGAAATCAACCCCGAAGAACTACTGCAAGGCTCACCTTGCTACCACAATTCTCTTCTTTTCCACGTATACAATTTCAGTTTTTATTTAATGTTTATTTTACAGAGCTCTAACCATGAGGAGTTTTGGAGTTTTTTCCCTCCTCGAAATTATAACATAAAGATTTGCCATTTATTTAGGTAGTCCTTAAGACCTGTAATAGCAAATGCCTTTTGTATTTTAAATAAGGAATCTTTGGTGCATTAAAACATCTCTCTGAGACTAAAATCTGTGACACAGTTTAACCCTGTTTTGTATGTGGTACAGGTCTGAGCCTAAGGACTCAGGTTCAGCATCATGGTCATCATCCCTCCATCCCACACACAGGGACACATTTTCTGAATATGGAAGGGAGTAGATATGATTAACTTTCTTTTGTTCTGATGAATGAATTGATTTTTATGAAATCTTAAAAATTCTAACCAACTTTTTTGAATTTAGAGTACTGTAATTAGCATTTAAGTGTACATGAAATATTTAAATATATAAGAGCCATTTATCAATCTGTAAAATTGAGGAAATTTAGATTCATTTCATCCCAGGAAGTTCTACAATAGATATGTACCATCATTATCAATGACAAAGAAATATAGTCTTTCCAGTCTGTCTTTACCTTCTCAACTTGAACCTGACTTTTTACTCCTTGGCTTGCTAGAATAGCTTTCATCCTGTATGTCTGTATGTTCTACTGTGATCAACCCACTTTACACATTTATGAAAAGAATAACCCATGTCATACCCTTACCCAATAGCATGTGTTTTCCTAATAACTAGTGACATCAACCCCTAATACCTCTGATAGGTATTCCATGTTTGACATGCCACAACTTTAAGAACTTTAAGCAGAATGGTGTCTTCAATTACTTTTCAAAATACTTCCTTGCACTTGGAATGCCCTCTTCTCTCTTGTGGGTGGCAGGAATCCAAGTACTAAAACCATACCCTTTCTTTCAGTGGGCCCAATTCAATCTTAATTCCTACATTAACCCTGACATTATCACACTAACTTATATAAATGTTCTCTTTCTCAGATGGCTAATGCACCTTCAGTTAATAGTCCAGTTTAGCATCTGATTATTGTCACCCTTTCCTGAGTGTCAGTTCAGCCCTGACGGCTGCTTGAGGGGTGGGGCTTGTTTTGGCGTCCTGGCATTTAGCTCGGCTCTGATAGGTGACAGAGGGGGTGCGTGACTCACCATAAGCACATCCTTCTACTAGGGGTTGAGGAGATGAGCTACAGTGCTCATCCTCATGGCTGGTGGACATCTGGGCCTACTGAAGCCAGAGACTTCTGTGGAAAGTGCCAGCAGGTGTATTCCTGGGAGCTCTGGCCACTTAGATGTGAGTGGAGTGAGAAGCCACCGGTGGTGTGTTGAGAGCATTTTCGGAAGGAGAACAACAAAACTGCCACAAAGCTAAGCTCCAAGTGAATCCTTCATCACTTCCCGGCTGGGAAATCTTGAGGGATGTGGGAAATCAATCCTACACTTTGTCTTTTAACCTGTTAGCTAGTGGGGCGCTTGCTGGGAAATAACGGATGAAGGCTGTGTTTCTCGCCCAACGCAGGTGGGAGCCCTGTTCTCGGTGCTGTCTGCAGGACCTAACAGATTCCTGTTACCCCATCGGGGGTGGTTCTGCAGGTGCCCAGCTGCCTTCCTTTGACTGTTTTCTGCTCCTTGGTCTGCACAGAAGCTGCAGGGCTCGGGGCCCCTGGTCCTGACAGAGGAGGAGAAGAGGACCCTGATTGCTGAGGGCTACCCCATCCCCACCAAACTGCCCCTGACGAAATCAGAGGAGAAGGCCCTGAAGAAGATCCGGAGGAAAATCAAGAATAAGGTGAGTCCTCCAAACCCCGGCCCTTCTGCGAGCAGAGTCGAGCAGCAGGCCCCCCTCCCTTGCGAAGGGCCAGCCTCCACCTGTCCCGTGGCGGGGACCAAGCCCTTCCCATCCCATGTGCCCAGCCCTCTTGCAGCCCCTGCCCTCCTGCAGCCCCTGTCATCCCTGCTGCGCCACTGGACTCCCAAACTGCTGGGCTCATTCCTTTGCCTGAGATAACCCATTCACCAGTGAGGAGAAGAAATTATAATTTCCATTGAATTTTAGTTTTTATCTCTGCTCCCTAAATTTCAATTTAATGATGTGCATAGTATTCTCCTCTAGTATACATAGATATTATTATTTTGTAGATAAAGATAAAAATATTGGGGAAAATTTTTTTTTCCTTGATCAGGATCTGTGACCAAAAAAATTCTGCCATTTGCTCATCTCTGCCTGCATTAGCAGTCTCCTAATCCTAGGGCTTCCAGGATAGCGTGGGCTGGGGTGAAGCCCAGCAACATGGCTGAGGCCAAGGCGGAACCGGAGGGAAGAGGTGAAGAGAGGAAAGCGTCAAGGGCTAAGTGACAGTTCTTCACCCATGGGCAGAGCCAGCAGGGAGTTCCTACACAACCCAACCCAGCCGGGTCATTTTGGGTGGACAGTAGAACCAGCTGAGGGCCAAGAGCTAAGATCATTCATCTGAGACCATGACAGTGGTTCATGACCCACGAGTTCGTCTGGCTCTGGCCAGTGCCCCCTTCCACTAGGGCCCATTTGGTGGGCAAGCAGGTGAGAGCACCAGCCGCTTGAGACAGGCAGGACAGAAGAGGGGACGCACAGGTGAGCCAGCAGGTAAACAAGTTGCTGATAGCCTCCTGTCTCCATGAACAGCTGGCAAGTAATCCTTTCCCCACCTTCTCTCTCAGATTTCTGCCCAGGAAAGCAGGAGAAAGAAGAAGGAATACATGGACAGCTTGGAGAAAAAGTAAGCCTGCCGACAGACCCGTAGTTTCTCAGGCAGAGATGTGAGTGCAGTCCCGAGCATAAGAGGCCCTTGCCTTTCTCTTCCTGGCCCCTGGAAAGCCCACCGCCCTGTCAGCTGTCTTTTGCCTGCCACCTAGTGGCTACTGGGAGAGAAAAGTTGCAAGAAGTACAATGGGTAGAGTATATTCCAGCTATTTTTTTTTTTTTAAACAATTAATCGACTTTCTTTATTTGAAAGGCAGAGAGGTAGACAGGTGAGACTTCTTGTCCACTGCTTAGGTTACACGAGCCTTGCTAGGCCTTACCACCACCCCGTGTCCCGCCAGGGGTCCCTGCATCCTTGGAGGCTCTGTTCCCACCCAGTGCTAATGTTAACATTCTTGCACACTCCTGCATCTCCTCAGAGGACAGGTGCTGCTTCCAGCAAAAGTGGCAGTGCATGTTCACCAGTTCCTGTCGGCCATAGGCCCTTGTGCCCTAGGGAGTGCACGCAGAATGGCCTGAGTCCGGTTGCTGCCCCCTCTTTTCTGTCCTCTAAACTCATGCTATAGGCAAAAGATTTTTCTCAAAAATATTGGAAGGCACTTTTTGTTCCAGAAAGCCCTGAATATCAGGAAGGCTGTTAGAAAAATATGAATTAAATACAATTTTTTAAAATCAGCATTAAGAAATAGTTCTCTAGCTGACAAATAGCATTTCTTTTTAAGATTTATTTATTTATTTATTTGAAAGGTGGAGTTTCAGAGATCAGAGGCAGAGGCAGACAGAGAGAGAGATCTTCCATCTGCTGGTTCACTCCCAAAATGGCTGCAACAGGTAGAGCTGGGCCAATCCAAAGCCAGGAGCCAGGAGCTTCTTCCAGGTCTCCCACATGGAAGCAGGGGCTCAAACATTTGGGCCATCTTCTACTGCTTTCCCAGGCCATAGCAGAGAGCTGGATCAGAAGTGGAGCAGCCAGGTCTCGAACCGGTGCCTATATGGGGTTCTGGTACTGCAGGCAGGGCTTTATGTGCCGGTCCCCAAACTAATAGCATTTTATGATGGGAATGAGGGCCCAGACTCAGAAATAATTCATCACGTGCGTCTAGGGAGAGGCACGGCCAGTGCAACCTATCTAGTTCTCATGGAAAGTTTCGCGTTTCTGTCAGCTGCCTGAAGTCCTGGTAATTTAGCACTAAGTAGTTCCATTCTGTCCCTTCACTTTCACTGGGCAAGCAGGATCAAGATACTCCTTTGCGGGGCTGGCATTGTGGCACAGTGGGTAAAGCTGCAGCTTGCAATGCTGGCATCCCATATTGGAGCACCGGCTTGAGTCCTACCTTCTCTGCTTTCCACCCAGTTTCCCATTAATGTGCCTAGAAAGGTAGTGTCCCAAGTACTTCCATCCCATCACTCATGTGGGAGACCCAGACGGAGTTCCTGGCTTTTGGCTTCTGCCTGTCCCAGATCTGGCCATTGCAGCCATTTGGGAAGTGAACCAGCAGATGGAAGACCTCTCTCTTTCTCTCTCTGTCTCCTTCTCTCTGCCTCTCCCTCTCTCTCTCTCTCTGTTGCTTTGCCTTTTACTAAACACATAAGCTTTTTAAAAATAGATATTCCTGTGCACGTCTCTTCACTGGCCCTTGGCAAGCGGCACGTGTGCTCCAGCACCAGGATTTCCTGTCTTGAGAGCCCGGGTGATTGCCGTTCCTCTTGTACCTTGCTCAGGCCCCAGGACTTCTCATCAGTCTTTCTGGCCAGGAGGACGTAGCATTCAGATCCCTCTGCAGTGGGAGAAGTGGGACAGGTGCTGAGAAGAGGTGGGGGACGAGAGGAAACAAGGTTGTAATACTTGCAGGGCTTTGCCTTTCTTGCCTTCCTTATTCATTGTCTGTTAGCAAGGCACCGGTTACTTGGTTCCTCCTGTTTTCTTTCCTGTGTCTCTCCACCCAGCTTCCCAGCTCAGCCTGGCCAGGCTCCTTCCCTGCTCTCTGGAGTGGTGGTGCCCGCTTCCCCTGACCCCACCGCCATGCTTTCCTGATAGTGACTGCTTTGCTTCCTTCTCCCCTCGGTAGAGTGGAGTCCTGTTCAACTGAGAACCTGGAGCTTCGGAAGAAGGTGGAGGTCCTGGAGAACACCAACAGGTGAGTGTGGCTGGAGTGAGTGCTGGGAGAGCTGCCAGATGGGAGATGGGATGGGGGCGGGGCCGGGGGGGGGGGATGGGCAGAACCCAGGACCAGAGAGGGAAGGGAAGTGGAGGAGATCACGCTGAAAGTGTGGTTGTGCCAGGATGCCTGGTCAGCTGTATTCCACCTGCTTGCTATGTGAACACACACACACACGCACACATGCACACGTTATTTACTTTCCTTAAAAAGAGGTTTGGTGAAGAAGCTGATCCTGACATGGACTATTATTTTACAAAAACAGAGGCTTGGAGGAGAATAGGGTCAATAAGTCTGATTCTCCTGCAAATGATACCAAACTTTAGCCGTGGACAAAGAGGCATTGACCACTGCCTGGTCACCTAATTTTGGTAATAAATGTGAATTGACTGGAGCAAGAAAGAAAATTAGTTAATGAACTCTTATCTCAAACCCACTTTGAAAAAATAATAAGGAACGGAGTTATGAATTCCCCTGGCACTTGCTGGACCAAGCCCTGTTTTAAACACTTTGCAGGTATTGGCTTGTTTGCTGTATGGTATGGTACTGTTGTTACCCTTGCTACGTAGAGGAGGCTACTAAGGCTCAGAGAGGTTAGAGTCCCACAGTAAATGCTGGAGCTGCACTTGAACGCAGGCATCTGGCTCTGCAGCCTGAAACTGGGAAGAGTAGAATGAGATTTGACTCTGGGTTATGTGCGTGGGTAAGAAACCAGCTGTTGCGGAATTCCTTCCAGAACGTGCGTGTTTGAGGACAAACCAGGCGCATGTCTGTGCCTCAAAAGGAAAGCAAATAGTAGTCAGGGTATCCTGTCACCCTTTAGTATCATAGGTACAGCAGATCAAGCTGAGAAACATGGACTTTTTGATAAGAAAATATTAGCTAATCACTGTAAGGCTCAGCATTCATGCCTAATAACAGTTTTGCAAAGGTTGAAGGATCGGGCTAGATCTCTCAATGTGTTATTTGAGAACAGTATTGAACTCAATTCCCATCTCCTGAATCTTCATGGTTTGTTGTTCAAGCAGCAGGCCAGCCTCCTCATAAGGTAAAGCTGCCATCAGTGGGAACCGAGGACTCAGACCTGCTGCATTCCTCTGTGTGTCCATGGGATGAGTGTTCAGTAGGCAGGCCAGGCACAGCTCTCCTCAAGTGCTCTGCCCACAGGGAAGAAGTGGCACTGGCTCAGTGAGGCATGATCTGACCTTCGGGACCAAGGCGGCTGGCCTGAAATGTCACGACTCTGGAGTCACTGCTCGCCTTCGGCCATCAGTCTCCTTTGGCCACATTTGCTCCCTCTGTAGGGGACTTTCTGGGGCTCTCTGGCTCTGGCTCTCCCAGCCAGTCTGTAGCTGTCTCTTTGGCATCCAGAGCACGTGGGAGTTCCTGTCTGCCTGTCCTGGCATTTACTGCCATGGATGCCAGATGTTTATGAGCGGGTCATGTCCTGGCCATGAGCTGGTGTAAAGAGGAAGAAGGATCTATCAAAAATGACCTTGGAGTTTATGTCCAGGGTTGGTCTCATCCATGGACTCTGGTGTCAGGCCTCGTCTTGGCCACGTGGTGGCAGCAGAGGTGCAGCAGGGCTGTGCTTCTCTGTGAGGCCTTCCTCCCACCAGGCGCCTGGCCTGGGAAAGTGTGCTCTCCCAGGCTCATTTCCTCCTGTCCTCTCTCCTCTTTTACCTCCCTCTCTTGGTTTAATCAGATGGTCAAAGAAGGTCCCTGTGTTCCAACTGGCTGGCATGCCCCCTTTGTATCTTTCTCTCCATAGTTTTTCTTCCATCTTCTTGTTTTTTAGTGAAGAACTGAGTTAGACATGATAGAGAGTCTACCAGTCTTCATTCACTTAGAACATCTGTGGTGCCATTTGGCATAGCCTGTGTTCACTATAGACTGCTTCGTTTTGGTTTTGATTTTTGGGTAAGAAGTCTTCATGGGTTCTGCTGCATTCTTCCATCAAGAGGTAATAACTGGTTATCTGGTTATTGGCAATTTCTAGTCATGGCCTAAATAGATCGATACATTAGAGGTTTGGAAGTGGCTATATCAAATGCAATCATTCCTTCTTCAGTTGTTAGCCTATGTTTCTAGAGAAAGAGTTTGTCTCACTGGTGAACACACAAGTAGAGATAGCTCTGCAAATTTCTGCTGATGTCATTTCCTATGGGTATATACGCAACAGAGGGCTTGCTGGGTTATATGGTCATTCTATTTTTAATTTTTGAGGAACCCCATGGAAGGGTGCCCTTTTCTCCACACCCACACCAACACATGGTGTACCTTGGCTTTGTGATATGAGCCATCCTAACAGTTGTGAAGTGATATCACATTATGGATTTGACTTGTATTTCCCTAATGACTTGTGGTGTTGAGCACCTTTTCATATACCCACTGGCCATTAGTCATGTCTCTTGGGAAAAATGTCTTCAAGTCCTTTGCCCATTTTTTAGTTGGGCTGTTTGTTTTTGGCTATTGAGTTGTGTTAGTTCTTAGTTATTTTGGACACCAACTCCTTATCAGATACATGGTTTGTGAATATTTTTTCCAATCCATAGGCTGACTTTTTTTTTTCACTTGCAGTGAGAATTTTTTAGTTTGGTATAGTCTCATGTGTTAATTATATTTTATAAACTTCAAAGAAGATGTATGTGTAATTTTGACCCATTACAAAAATAGAAAATATAGTTTTGTAAAAATCATAATCTTTTCTTTGGTTTTTTGTTTTTGTTTTTGTTTTTGTTTTTTTTTGGACAGGCAGAGTTAGACAGTGAGAGAGAGTTATAGACAGTGAGAGAGAGACAGAGAAAGGTCTTCCTTCCATTGGTTCACTCCCCTAATGGCCTCTATGGCTGGTGCTGTGCCAATCCAAAGCCAGGAGCCAGGTGCTTCCTCCCAGTCTCCCATGCGGGTGCAGGGACCCAAGTACTTGGGCCATCCTCCGCTGCCCTCCTGGGCCACAGCATAGAGCCGGACTGGAGGAGGAGCAACCGGGACTAGTACCCGGTGCCCCAACCAGGACTAGAACCCGGGGTGCTGGCACCACAGGATTAGCCAAGTGAGCCACGGTGCTGGCCCATAATCTTTTCATCCAGAGTATCTTTACATTTGAGACATTTTATATATATATGTATTTATAGTATGTATATTTCTTTGTTAAGAACTTTATTTTCAACAAAATATACTGGATATACTTTCATATCAGTAAATATACTTCTATAGGATTCATATTTGGACCTTCATTGAGAAAAATCTTCTTGATATTGGTATCTGAGCCTTCCCAAATGGGCTGCTGTTACTGAAAGTGGCACAGAGGGTTTGCTCTCTTCCTGTGACACCTGAATTCCATGTGAGCACTGATTCGAGTCCTGACTGCTCTGTTTCCCATCCAACTCCCTGTTAATGTGTCTGGGAAGGCAACAGAAGATGCTCCAAGTGCTTGGGCCCCTTCCACCGATGTTCGAGACCAGGACTGAGTTCCAGGTTTCTGGCTTCAGCCTGGCCCAGCCCTGGCCAATGCAGCCATTCGGGGAATGAACCAACAGATGGAAGACTGATCTCTCTCTCTCCTCTCTCTCTCTCCTTTTCTTTCTCTCTCTCTCCTTTTCTTTCTCTCTCTCTCCTTTTCTTTCTCTCTCTCTTTCTTTCTCTTTCTCTCTCTCTCTTTCTTTCTCTCTCTCTCTTTCTTTAATTCTATTTTCTTTCTTTCTTGCTTTCTCTCTCACAAACACATACACACACACACACACCACACTCTGCTCTTCAAACAAATAAAATAACTATTAAACACACACAAAAAGAAAATGACCAGGGCTGGTGTAGGACACCTGTTAAAGCAGGGACATTTTGTTTCATTTTCAGCTTTATTGAGATATAATTGACAAATGAGATTGTTTTTAAAGTGTACAACTGATGACTTGACGTATGTGTACACTGTGAAATGGTTATCACAATCAAGTTATATATGTACGCAACCTCATATAAATACCTTTGTTAAATTTGGGGTGAGGACACTTAAGATCTATTATCTTAGCAAATTTCAAGTGTATAAGTACAGCATTATTGATTACTGTCACCATCCTGGACTTTAGCTCACAAAAGTAACGTATCTTATAGCTGACCTTTGACCAACATCTCCCCACTTCCCCCACTCTGAATACCCTGACAACTACCCATCTCCTCTCTTATTTTGTGAGTTCAACTTTATTTAAGACATTTATTTAAAAGGCAGAGTGACAGAGAGAGAGGGTGAGACAGAGAGAGAGAACTTCTATTTGATGGTTCACTTCCCAGATGGCTGCAAGAGCCAGGGTTGAGCCAGGCTGAAGCCAGGAGCCATGAACTCCATCCAGGTCTCCTACGTGGGTGGCAGGGCCCCAAGTACTTGGGGTATCATCTGGTGGTGCCTTCTCAGGTACATTAGCAGGAAGCTGGATTGGAAGCAGAGCAGCTGGGACTCACAAGCAGGGATTAACCCACTGTCACAATACTGGCCCATCGACTTTTAAAAATTCCATATGTAAGGGCAGGTGCCTGGCCTAGAGCATAAGATGCCACTTAACATGCCTGCATCCCAAAATAAAGTACCTAGGTTTGAGTCCTGGCTCTGTTCCCAATGATAGCTTCCTGCTAATACACACCAGGGGAGGTAGCAGGTGATTGCTCAAATAGTTGGGTCCCTGACCACCCTCATAGGAGACCTGGATTGAGTTCCTCTTCTGGTTTAAGCCTGGCCCAGTCTCAGTCACTTTGGGCATCTGGGGAGTAAACCAGCAAGTAGGAGATATCTATCTTTCATACTTTCTCTTTCTGCCTGCCAATAAGTAAAAAAAAAAAAAATTAAGAGAAAATAAATTCCACATATAAGTGATACTGTACTTGTCCTTGTATTTGTCTTTCTATGTCTGACTTTCACTTATAAAGCAGGGGAGGTTTGTCAGTAGCCACCCTGCGCCTTCTCTGCTCTGTCCCAGGACTGCAGG